GAATTAAGTTTTAATGTATCCAACAACATTTTTATGTTTGCATAATTTTCATCAATAGAGGGTAATACTGCCAAAACTAAAGTTTTGTGAACACTAGTATACTTGAAATCTTTACATTTATACTCATCAGAATATTTTACTTTTTTCTTTGTACTTAAATGTGCTTCTAGCTCTGGCTTTATTGTAATTGATAAAGTAACCTTTAGATAACCTTGTCCTCCATCTACCCCAATCTTAACATCAATTATTTTATGAGTGCTATGTTCACTAAATTTGGTGTGAGTACCAATATGAGATCGCGCTTCTTATAAAAGTGATAATTTTTTTATTTAGTTGCCATGGATACTTATATTGCTTAGTTACTAGATATTTTCCTTAGTTACAAAGGGGTAAATTGGTTTTTGAATCAATTTTATTAGGTTTTTGACTCACCTATATTAAATAACAATTTAGTATTTAGATAAATAATGTTTTGCAATAATAAAAACAAAAAGTAGTTCAAGAAAACATTGTCAATTTTTAATTACATCAAAAATTTATAAAACAATAACATCATTTGAAGATTGCTTAAGTAATTGTAAAACATCTGAAGGAAATGTTTTATGATTTGTTTGGTGTGATGTTACACAGTGAAATCACATGATCACTAGAAACTAGGAGCCTATTGATCAGATCATTATTTGTTGCTGTTTTTGGATGTTTTTCGGCTGAAATTTTTGCGATAAGATTTCAAGTCTTTATTTTTTGCCTCTTGAGCTTCCTCTGACATAAGGCCGATGAGTGATGTAAGACTTTTAATTATGTCATGTCCATGTATCAATACTTTGTGCACAAATTGAGCCATGTAATACCATGGATATCAGGATACATATAATATAGCATTGTCAAAACAATAATCCTTGAATTTTAAGCAGTCTATTTATATCCTGAAGATTGTGTTACCAAGATAATGTAAAATTTAAGTATAAGGTTTTGATCAATACGCAGAATTTCAACTGTTTGTTCATATGCTGCAAAAGCACGTCTTGAAATATTGTCATCATTGCTTGTTTCAGAACCACCACTCTTAGAGAAATCAACAAGTCCTATTTTGTTCATAAAATCAGTCTGAATCTTTTATTCAACTACAGATACTTTTTCTTTGTGTTCTTTAGGTCTTACTTGTCATTCTCTTGTTTCTTTTTTATATGCAATGTACAAATTCATCTCAAAAAATCAAATCCATGCATGGAGACTGAAAAGATCATATTTAAACTCTCTGTTATATAATCTATATCAAGGATATCAAGACTATTCATACTTTTTGGAGAGACACCACACACTGAACATCATTAGTATGAGTTTTTTCAGATAATATCATTTGAACCTTTCCATCAATCATTGCAAGTTCAATAACACAATTCACTTCAATAGAAGATCCACAAACCTCTAATAAAATTATACCCAAGCTTTATATCTCACTTTTAATGTACTGATCTTCCTCGATCACAGATTCCTTTGATTCTTTTTTTAAAATACAAATCTAAAGGGTGCAAATAATTGCTTTTATTCAAAATATTATCTGAACCTTTAGTTATACTTTTAAATTATACTTTTCAGATATAAAATATTGAGTTCCTGAAGAGAGCATTTAAAGGTGAAATGATTAAGTTTGACATTGGGAAAGATAAATCATATAGAGAAAAATTCATTGGCGAGGAAAAGTGAATGTTAGATATGATGGAAAGTATGTGTAGAGAAGAACAACATAAAAAAAAAAAACAAGAAATGTCAAAGAAAAATACTATAGAGGATATAGAAAGAATAAAAGATTTTTAGATAGAATTATCTTTGAGTAACACGAGTGCCACTGATATTTGAGCCATACCAAAAAAAAAAAAAGATCAGTGAAGATAGAGTTTACATGAACTTTTCAATGATGTTCTTGACAAGTGGGTTCCTTTCTTGACGTAGGTCAGTGTTCGAGCTAAAACTTCATTTCTGTCCTTACTTTTCAAGATTGCTGGTGTTGATTTTAATACAGTTCCTGTATCAAAGAGTAATCTACTTAGAAACAAAAGGATTGTGATTGAAAATGACGCTAGAATAGTGAGAGAAGAAAATCTGGACAAAGTTTGTAATTTAAAGGTCATCATTCATTTCGATACAAAATTGGTCAAACACTATCGAACTGACCAAAAAATGTCTGAAACTGTAGAAAGGCTAGCTCTCAGAATATCATCCCCCAGTTCAATGAACCCTTGTTGATTCTTAGCAGGATCAAGCTATAGCTATTCAGAATATATTAGAGTATTATAAGCTCACTGACCAGATCATTGGTTGTAGTGCAAATACAACAGCCTATAATACTGGAAAATACAAAGGTGCAATTAAGTTCCTGGTGGATCATGTGCTTAAAAGTCCTGGTCTATGGCTGCTATGTAGGTAATTAAATATTTTGATTAAAAAAATTTAAAGTTTGTTGCACAAAACTGTTGCAAAATTTGTACATTTTGTATCTTTTTAAAGTTTAATTTTTAAGGCATCATATATCTGAAAGGCATATTTCCCATTGCATGGATTATATTCAAGGCTCAACAAAATCTCCATCATATGCAATATATATAGATTTTTGGAAAATCTGGCCAGAAATAAGACAAAGGAAAAAAAATTTCGATCAGTTGCTTTTTTTCAATTATGGAAGAAAGGAGTATATAGTAGGTACGTAGAAATGGAAGAAAGGAGTATATAGTAGGTACGTAGAAATGGAAGAAAGGAGTATATAGTAGGTACGTAGAAATGGAAGAAAGGAGTATATAGTGGGTATGTAGAAATGGAAGAAAGGAGTATATAGTAGGCACTGATTTTCATAGAAGGGTATTAGATAGTAAGAACTTCTGTGTAACAATCCTAAAACAAGATTGCTTTCAAAGGGGAGGTTATTAAGTTCTTTGTGAGCTAGTAGTCATTTACCTTGGTGGCCATGTAACTGGTTTCCATTCAAACAACCAGGTACCCACCATCAAGCAAGGTTCTTGGCTGATTGTCTATATTTGCTTACAATGCAGCTGACTTCAAAGATTAATTTAAAGTTGAATAAAAGTAAGAAAGATATTCTTGAACTGTCAACTGACTTTATTGTCACATTTTATGGAGAATACTTTTTAAAGTCTCTTCTGGCAGCCCAGGCTCCATTACATGATTTGGATGCATTTAAGCTAGCTTATGAAATAATGAGCAATAAGCTATATATATCCAAGTATGGTCCCCTGGAAAAGCTGCTCCATGCGAGGTTGGTCCATCATTGTTGGTACCTGATTTCACAGCTAGTTATTCTTTCAATAGCAAATAGACATTTAGAACTGAAAGAAAGAGCTGGACTAGCTCAAAAGCTGCAAAAAAAGTTTCAATTAGATTTTGATGATTTTGAAAGGGAACAACCTCACGCTCCAACTCATGTGGTTCCCATGTCAATTTTGTCTTCACATACCTAGGTATAATTGCTCTTGACATACCTAGGTATAATTACAGAAGTAATAAACACACGGATAAAGAACAACTTTGAAAATGATTCCTACAGTCATTTTTAACATCAAATGGAGAATCTAGCTGTAGTAAATGACAGGGCTGAGCGCCACATCAAACTTGTGCAGGATTTTGTGTCTTCTACAGGATACCATGCAAGTTGTCCAAAAAAAACAAAAAGGGGTTGGTAAAAATGAAAGATGGACAATTTTTTACTGTTCAATCATAAATCAGGGGCACCAAGAGAGGGGGTAGGGCAAAAAAAAATTTAATGCAACCTCGCATATGAAAATACCTTATATTGGAACCCCTTGACTTGGAGACCAAAATATTTTTCTTGGTGTGTCCTGTGACCGAATAAGGATGATTGAGATAGGGCGCATTTTGGTCAGTGGGACATTTTTGTGTACTTAACGCAAGTTAAATACTGTTAAAACAATTAAGGAATTTAAGAGGACGACCAATCAATGGAAACTCTATTGAAGCATTATATAGCTCAAATAAATATTAGACAGCAAAAAATAAATTTCTTAAAGATTTTTTTTATAATCTGTGATTTTCAAAGTATAACTGAGATAACATGCTATGATAAATTTATTTCACACATTGTTTTTTATTATCTCTAAATACTCTAAACTAACATGTACTAATATTTTGTTTTAAAAACCTAGGTGTAATTGAAATATCACACAATGTTGATGTCATCGAAATTACTTATTTATAATTTATTATTTTTTTAATTTTAATATTCAAATTCTCAGAGTCCTGGGAACTAAGGGATTTAATATAAATAAATTATCAATAAATTTCTGCTTATATATATAGATACTAAAATTAAAAAAGTTTTCAAGATTAGACAACTAAAATTTTTCTTATTTTGTCCACCTACAGGCTCACTGTGTGTTGCAATTACAAAAAGTAAACAGCTATAATTGCTGGCAGAAAAGTTATGTTTTAATACGAAGACATTGTTATTTATAAAACTTTTTACTAAGTTTTCACAAAAAGCTACCAATAAATGATTTAAATGTTGAATGTTTCAGAATTTACAAATGTACTCTTTTTAAAAACAAAACAAAAATTTCATGGGACTTGATATAAGGTCTGAGGTTACCTTCAGGGTACCCGTGCAAACTAAAACAAACCGCTAAAGCAAAAAAAACCAAAAAAAAAAGGTAATAACAAAAAAAAAAAGGTGACTAAAGCAAATACCCTGACTTGAATATTGTTCAAGAATATTAGAAACAGTGAAAAAAACTAGTGAAGGAATCTCAATTAAGTATAAATAAGAAAGAATTTCTTCAAAAACAAAATATAATGAAATAAATAAGTTTTTAGTAATTTAAGTATTACGCAGCAAAACACATCTTAACACCTTTGAAACAAAAGTCTAAAAAAAATGTACTTAAAAAAATTTAAAAATATTTTTTTTAGTTGTTGTATATATTAAATATTATTATTAATTAAAAGTTGTATGTGTTTACTTTTTACAATAGAAGTTGAAGCTAAAGAGAATAATTTACAGCCAACACACCACCCTGGCATTTTCACTAGTAACTTGTGGACTTGCTGTAAAGAAAAAGAAAAGAATTCAAGTGGCTGCAAAAATTCCTTCTGTTATAAAGATGTGATCAATCAAAGTGCCAGTATATATATATATATTTTTATTTTTCATTTTCCTTCAAATAGCACTTTTATAAGCACCGCTGCATTTGACATTTAAACTAATTATACATCCTTGAAAAATTGACTTTTTATTTTCTGCACACTTTTATATTTGGTTTTTAACAATCTACATTCCCTTATATTTGATTTCTTGTTGAACTGTTGCCAATCTTAATAAAATGGAGTTTTAATTGAAGGATATATAGGGCCTCGTGAAAATGGAAATGGTCATTGTGAGATAAACTTTAAAGTTACTGCTAAGTTTGATTATAATACAACTCAAGAAACAGATTTACCTTTAAAAAAAGTATGTTTGCTTTCATTAAGTATATTTTTTTACCATATATTTTGTTATTTTTGTTTTTACAATATATTTTTTCAAATGGAAAAGTATAAATTGTTATTAATAAATATAATTTACTGCTTTAAATTATATTTAATTTAATAATACTGCAACTAAAGTTTAAGTCTTTACTTAGGTGTTGATGATAAAAGTTTATATATATATATATATATATATATATATATATATATATATATATATATATATATATATATATATATATATATATATATATATATATAGCTTCTTAGTTCAATAATACTATTGTTAACTCTTCATAATTTCATTAAAATGAGTTAACTACTTTTTAAGTAGTTTTTTTATCGTAAACATCATGAATCATACTCTCATTTAGCCAAATTTAATTTTTAATTTAAATTTTGTTAAAATCGTTGTTATGAGCAATAATAATAAAGGGTGTTAGTCTTTTGAGCATAAATATTGACAAATTAGGTCACTGATGAAGCAGAAAGTTGAGCACATTACTATCTGAAGTGTGGTGGGGATATTTACTTCATATCTATAGCTTATGAAAACACTAGTGATTGATCTGCTCAAAAAATATTTCTTGATTACTTAAACTTAACTGAAACCATATTTTTAAGTGCTTATAGTTATTTAATTAAGTTCATACCAAAGGAATGGTTAATTATATAATTAATTCACATATATAGATGGCTTGTCGGAGGAAACATTAATTTTTGTTTTCATAATTTAACTTTGAAAAAATTTACTTTAAAATTTACTTTAAAATTCAAAAACTTTTCAGATTTTATTTGGAATGTATATAAAGTTATTAATCAATTAATGAAAGCAACAAACTTATTATAAGCTAAAAAGTTCAATCAACTTTTTATAAAAGATAAATATTATTTTGAGAAAAACATTTACATTTAAAAAGAAAACAATAAAAAAATAGAACTTAATGTAATTAATCTTTGTAAATTACTTGATGTGGCAAAGAATTACCACAATCATCACAGGATGTTAGAATTGTTGTCATTTGTTTATTGTTTGTTGTTGATAATTTTTTAGGATTTTTTTATCCTTTTCAACAAACAGCTTTGCCTTCACCTTATAGGTTGATTGTAAACTTGACTCATCAAAAACAGGAAGCGGTTTTGAGTTATATTGTGCTCAAGATAATCTTCTGCTACTAGTTGAAACCAAATTTTGTTACCATGATTTAGATGGCCATTTTTTAATAAGTTTGACTTGATTCTTTTAATTAAAAAACAGACAAAAAATAATTATACCTTTTTTACGCTTGTAATAAGTATAATTGTATACACGCAAAAAAGTATACCTTTTTCTGGAACTTTTTTTTTTGGTTACTTTTTACTTTAGTTCAATTTGTTTTAAGTAATATTAACAATTTCTTATTTTTTTTGCATGTTATCAGAATTTTTCACAAAATAAAATAATGATCTATAATTATAGATTTTTAATCTGAATCTTGCTTACTTATATTATTTTAATCTATTTTTTGTTAATTTCATAATGGTAAATTTAAATTTAACTTGATTTGCAATAATTTAATATAATTTTTTTTATATATTTTTATTTGATTTGTTCTCATTTTTATTAATTAAAAAAAAAAAATTTATTCTAAATAATAAGGTACAAAATTTTGTTAAAATTTCCGTAATTAGGATTCATCAGTAATTAATCATTCCTACAGTATATATAACTTATAAAAATATATATTTTTAATTATTTATTAATGTTTGTATTTTTATATTATTTAAATGTTTGCATAATTTTTAAAATATATTATGTTAACACTTTATTTGAATACAGGACCAAGAATACACTGTAATTGATGTTTCCAAAGTTAATTGGTGGCTGGCACGTGATGAATTTGGGTATGCTGCAAAATATTTTCTTATGTCATTAAAAACAGTTTATGTCATAAATTTTGTCAATAATTGCAACACCTAACATTGTTTTGGCATTAAAGTTTTTTTTTTTTTTTTTTTTTTTCATTCATTTTTTCCCTTAAGTTGTATGTGCATTAGGGTGACACAAAATTAAAAAAAAAAAAAAAAAAAAAAAGCAGTACATTTTCCTGTTCTACCAAACTTTGGAAATCTACAAAAAAAAATTTTAGATCCCTATGTGATCAGGAAGAGCTACATGTAAATTTAAAAATTTTACGTTCCAAGCCTTTTTTTTTTCTTCACATTATTTTATTATTTTCACATCATTCAGCAAGTTTTCAAAACATGTGTCAAAAACTCAAGATGTTTTTAAAACATTTGTGGTCATTCACAACTATTTTTTAAAAACTTTAATTGCACCATAAACTTAGTGGATTGCGTTTAATCACTTGGCAACTTTTGATTTATTAATTATCTTACTTTAAACTTTGATTTTTTTTTACTGTTTACATATCCGTACAAAATGTTGAAAATCAAAGAGAGGAAAACAAAAGAAATTAGCTATAACGCTCGGAGGTCTGTTTACCTGCTTAACTCGCCTTTAAGCTATCTACCTACAAACCAACTTCCATCAAATCGAAGTGTTCTTGGATATTACTTGTTCCTAACTTCAGCTAGAGATAAGCGATTCAAACCTATTAAAATAAACTTTTCATGTTCTCGAGCACAAGAGGATGTTATATGTAAAGGGAAAGACGAAAAATACTGTTTACTCCGAAAAATACTGTTTACTCCGACAAATTGTAAATATTTGGAAGTCTGCTGGTTTCAGTAATTACTTAATTTCTGAGAGAAGTATAGTGGAAAAGTTTAAATCTCTATACAGCAAATACAAAACTTTGTGCAACAGTAAAACCTTTCAAATCAAAAAGCAAATTTCCGAACGCCACAAAAATGACTTTTACAATATGGTAGAGCAATTGTTTGACATCAGTGCAAAGGACTTTGAGATGAAGTTGAGACGCGATGAATCAATGCCTCGTGATACTTCTGCTTTACAAGAGGATTTGGCCTTCTTAGATGATCAAAGGTATTTTTTGCTCAAATTTTTTTGCGAAGATTTAACCTATTTTTCAATTATGATATATCTACTAATTTTTCCCTTATATAGAAAAATCATTTTTTTGAGAAATTTTATTTTTTTATTCAAATTTATCTTACGCTAAGTGTTTTAACAACTTTTTGCACAGAACTAACAGAAATATGATCATATCTTCTTAAATTGACACAGAGCTTGAAGCAAGGTTTCAGAGAAGATTGATAGATGTAAGAGGAAAGAAGAATATAAAGATCGAGTACAGAAGAGCAACGATTCGATAATTCGTGACAACAAAGAAAAAATTGGGGTAAAAAGGCAATGGAATCACAACTTTTTTCCTAACAATGATATAAATTTCAATTTCGCAAGTGAGGAACCTACAGAACCTAAAAACCTACAGAACCTAAAAACCTACAGAACCTAAAAACCTACAGAACCTAAAAAAACAAGAGCTGAATCACAATTAGGTAATATTTAAGTATAATTTGTTAAACACATAAAAATATTTGTTTCAACTTATGACTAAATAAAAAGAGAGAATATAAACAATTTTTTCTAATAATGCACGGACATTTTAGGCAAAACTAGTAATTTTTTGAAGTAAATGTATAGCTAAGCTAAGAATCTTTATATTAATTTAGATGCTGGAAGTGTAATTGCTAAAGTCGGAAGATTTTGTTCCAAATAAAAATGTTAATTTTCACGAAGCAAGCTCAAAAAGTAGGCATCAGTTTAGACCATCATATTTCAGAGTAGAAAAGGAGATAACCAGTGAAGGTCTCATTGCAGCAACAACTTCCACCAGTATAAGGGCTGGTCTCAGCATTCAAGATCAAACCCTTCTTATTGCAAGCGTAGTAAACTATTTAGGAGGAAAAGTTAAACAGCTAAAGTTAAGCAGAGAATCTGTCAGAAGGCGAAGTTACAGATTTTTAGAAGAGGAAGGAGGCCAGATACGTAATGAATATATTAATTTAATGGCTAACAAGATGTTAGTTTTACATTTTGATGGTAAAAATTTAAAGCATATTGAGGAGGACACTAGACAGGCAACTACTGCAGATAGACTATCAGTATCTGTTACTAGCCCAGAGTTTGAAACCAAAGATGATCTTTTACTCGGTGTTGTGCCAACTGATAGTGGTAAGGGAATCGATATGGCTATAAGTATTATGAATCTCCTAGAATATTTTGAAATTTGTGACTATATTGTAGGATTCTGTTCTGACACCACAGTAAGTAACACTGGATGGAAATCTGGTGCAATAACTATTATGGCAAGATTTCTTGGTAAACCATTTCTTTGGTTATTGTGTAGACACCATATTGCCGAAATAAATATTACTTGGGCTTTAAAGGCAATTTCAATGGAAATGTCTAAAGCCCCTGCGAATAAGTTACTAAAAGATTTTCAGCAGAAATGGATAACAGAATTTTTTCCTAAAGTTTTAGCTAGTGGTGCTGTAGAAAAGTTCAAACGATTTCCTGAGCAAGACCTTATTGTCGACAGTGATCTCTGCAAACTCTATTTGAAGTCTAAAAAGTTTGTTACTAAAGCACTAGAACATGAAATCTTCCCCAGGTATGTAAAAATAATATAAAATGAATTAGTTTTTTCATAAATATACTTTTTTTTTTAAAGTTATTAAATAAAATTAGGAGTATTTTTATGAATATTAAGTCTGAGAAATTAAATAATTTTCACATCTATCAGCCTGACGCCTGTCACAATGCAAGGTTTATGGCCTATGCAATATATTTTCTAATGCTCGATATGACATCCACAGTCGTTGAATATCTGACTCCTGAAAAAAAATATATGGTCTCAAGGGTAGCATTTATTGTTGCTATTTATTATGGACCTGCCTTTCTTAACTCAGGCAAAGCAGAGCATGCTGTTCTGAATGATTTTAATGCATTCAAAATTGCTGAAACAATTAAAACAGAATGGGATTATGAAGTTGGAAACTCGCTTCAAAAAAGCATGAGTAACCACACATGGTATTTGTCTCCTAAAGTTGTCGTACTATCGTTAGGTGATCCTTATATGAAAGCAGATGCTAAGCGTTTAATCATTCAGAAACTTTTAAATTTTCCAATTCCTGAGTTATCAGAGATTTCTGTTACAGCTCCTTCTGCTGTTAACGTTACCAGTGATAGTCGATTAGAGGATTTAATTACGAAGGAGAGTTGGATATTTTTTATACTTACAGGTCACACCGAATCTGTTCGAGAGTGGCATACTTCAAGTGATTTCTTAGCGCTAGATTCATACAAAAATTTTGCTCAGTTAGTTTGCAATCTTAGTGTGACCAACGATTGCGCAGAAAGAAATATTAGTTTAATTGAAAACTTTGTTCACAGTTCCCACAATGAGGATCAGAGACAGAACATTCTTTTGGTAGTCAGAGAGCACAGAAAGCTTATAACAAAAGATATGTCGCTTAAGGAACTGGTAAAGCTAAAACCTAGAGTTGAAAAATTATTGTAAAATAATAGGTAACTGTATGAAACTATAAACAGTATTTTTTTTCTTGTAAGATCAAACAAAAGTTTATATATAAACATATTTTAACCCGTAAAAAATGACATAAAGTTCAGCCAATCCGCAATATTTAAAAAATTACATGTAGCACTTCCAACGAATAAAAATAAGTGATATTTTGTTTTTAGACTAACTGAATGTTGTAGAACAGGATAAGCAACTGCGGTTATTGATTTTTGAAAAATTTTATTTTTCGACCCTACTTTGTGTCACCCTAATGTGCATCTTTTAAATGCATTGTAATTAGTTTTAAAATCTTTAAAAATATAATAATTTGCTTATTCTGACTTTTTTTACATCGGTATCTTTGTTTTCAATTTTCAATTATAAAATAATTTTTTAAATATAAAAGTATTATTGATTTTTTCAATTTCATAAAATTATATTGTAACAAATAATTATATAATATGTAACAAAAAAGTTCTACGAGTACAGTTTAAATAACTGGTTTAATTTTTTTAAAATTATAAAAATATCTAGAAAAATTTAAATACTGGTTATTAATATTGTATTAGACTGGTTAATGTTTTGTTGTTATTTTATTGTGTGGCATCTTGTTGTAATGGTAGAACACTTGATTTTTAAACGCGACTTTCATAGTACTATGCTCTACCTTTTTTGTTAAGGTTTCTGTTTTGGGAACAGGGTTGTTACGACATAATGTCTGGCAGATCTGTCAACATCATTTCAGGCATATTTTCTGCTGACATAAAATCT